TAACAACCACAGCAAGCAACAACAGCACTGCACCCACAAATTCCACATATCCCATGCCTACTGCCAAAGAACACTACCCAGTATCATCCCCATCTTCCCCATCACCACCAGCTCAGCCAGGAGGGGTTTCTAGAAATAGCCCTTTGGATTGTGGAACAGCATCTCCAAATAAAGGGGCATCTTCCTCTGAACAGGAAGCAGGTAGTCCTCCAGTAGTAGAAACAGTAAATAATAGACCTTCAAACAGCAGCAGTTCTGGGAGTTCATCAGTTCATTCTGTTCAGCAGCAACCTCCAGGATCTGTTTCTCAGGAGCCAAGACCACCTCTTCAGCAGTCTCAGGTTCCTCCTCCGGAGGTTAGAATGACTGTTCCTCCTTTAGCAACAAGTTCTTCTCTGGTGGCAGTGCCTTCTACTGCCCCAGTGACTTACCCATGCCTCAGGACGCAAATGGGATGCTCCCAGCCTGCTCCTAAAATGGAAACCCCTGCTATTAGACCACCCTCTCATGGCACAACTGCCCCTCATAAGAATCCAGCTCCAGTTCATAATTCATCTGTTGCAGCCCTCAGTGTCAATCACATTAAAAGACCTCACAGTGTTCCCTCTTCTGTTCAGCTACCTTCGACCTTAAGTACACAAAGTGCTTGTCAAAATTCAGTACATCCAGCAAATAAGCCTATTGCTCCCAATTTCAGTGCACCCTTACCATTTGGGCCCTTTAGCACATTGTTTGAAAACAGTCCTACTTCTCATGCCTTCTGGGGAGGATCAGTTGTTTCATCTCAGTCAACACCAGAATCTATGCTATCAGGAAAATCCTCATATTTGCCAAATTCAGATCCTTTACATCAGTCTGATACTTCCAAAGCTCCAGGTTTTAGACCACCATTACAGAGACCTGCTCCAAGTCCCTCAGGTAAGTTTGTATTTTCTGATATTCCGCAGCTGCTCATTTACACAAGTGATGTGAAAACTCATAGCCATTTTCTAATATTTTTACTCTAGGCCAGATAGACAGAAATTGCTGTATTTTTTAAACTCAAGTGTTCTAATCTTTTTAGAAGTACAGTGGATTTTATTTTAAATTTCCCACAAATAAACTTATCAGGTATATTTTTCTCTCAATGTAAAAAAGTCTCTTATGTTTTAATTTATTAAGGTAATACCATTTTGTTAATTACATTTTATTTCAAATTGTATTTTATTTCAAATAAAATGTAATTAACGGAAGAATTTTAATATTTGATTTCATTTGATTATCTTTTTTTAAAATAATGAGAAAAATATACAGGTACCTAGTTTAATAGGGTTGCTACTAACCACATGTGCTATTTAAAGTTAAATAAAATTGAAGATGGTAGTCAAGCTGGTCATATTTCTTTTTATTTTAATTTGTTTTTCCAGTTTCATTTAAGTATAATTGACATACATTACTGTATAAGTTTAAGCTGTACAGCATAATGGTTTGACTTACATATATTGTGAGTTGATTACTGCTGTTAGCATACATCATTTCATAAGGGCATAATAAAAAGCAAAAATTTTTTTTGTGTTGAGAGTTCTTAGGATTTACTGTCTCTTAATAACTTTCATATATATATATATATATATATATATATATACATACATATATATACACACACACACACACACACACACATATATATACACCAATGTTAAGTGTAGTCATCATGGTGTACATTACATTCCTAGTACTTATTTATCTTATACTACAAGTTCATACCTTTGACCACCTTCCACCATTATCCTACTCTCCCAAATTTGATCTCTTTTTCTAGAGTTTGTTTATTTTTAAATTCCACATACAAGTGAATTCACAGTATTGGTCTTTCTCTGTCTGGCTTATTTCACTTAGTGTAATTCCCTCACCGTCCACCCATGTAGTAAAAAATGGCAGGATTTTCTTTCTTATGGCTGAATAAGATTCATATATGTGTGTGTGTGTATACTATATATATCCTATATAATAAAAGACTAATATGCAAATTGACCAAGTGGCTGAATGACCACTCACTGTGACGTGCACTGACCACCAGGGGGCAGACGCTCAACGCAGAAGCTGCCCCCTGGTGGTCAGTGCGCTCCCACAGGGGGAGCACTGCTCAGTCAGATTCTGGGCTCACAGCTGGCGAGTGCAGAGGCTGGCGAGTGCAGAGGCGGTGGCAGGAGCGTCTCCCACCTCCAAGGCAACGCTAAGGACCCCTCAGGCTGACATCCCCCAAGGGGTCCCAGACTGCGAGAGGGTGCAGGGCCAGGCTAAGGGACACTCCCCCACCCCCACTCCCCAGTGCACAAATGTTGTGCACCGGGCCTCTAGTATACTAAGTCACAACTTGTTTATTCATTTATCTGCCAAATGGACACTTAGGTTTTTCCCAGATCTTAGCTGTTATGAATAATGCTGCTATGAATATGGGATTGTAGATATCTTTTTTAGTTAGTTTTTTTGTTTGTTTGTTTCCTTTGGATATATTTCCAGGAATGGAATTGCTAGATCTGTATGGTAGTTCTGTTTTCAGTTTTTTTGAGGATCCTCCCTATTGTTTTCCTTAGTGGCTGTAAGTTGGCCATACTAGTATTTCAAATGCTTTATAAACACATATCTCTAGTGGCTAACATATCGAACATATAACATTATCATAGAAAGTTCTGTTAGAAAGTGCTGATATTTATAGAGTATATTTGTGAATGATTATTTTATTTTCTTAACTATTTACTTAGAGATAATTTTATATTTATAGAAGAGTTCTGTAACTACTGCAGCTTTCCCTAATGTTAAATATCTATGTAACTAATCATGGTACATTTATTAAAACTAAGAAAATAATATACAATATAATTAAACTGCAAGCTTTGTTCAAATTTTATCAGTTTTTTTTTCAATGATATCCTTTCTCTGTTGTAATGTTTAATCCAGAATACCAAATTGGGTTTAGAGCTATATGTTTTAATAGGAAAATTTCAAGCAATTTAAGAGAATCCATGCTAGTGATGGATAACTATGGTCCATGGGCCAAGTATGTCTGGCTTCCTGTTTTGTTTTTCATGAATTACGTTCTTTTTTATTTTTAAATATATTTCTTTATTGATTTCAGAGAGGAAGGGAGAGGGAGAGAGAGATAGAAACATCACTGATGAGAGAGAATCATTGATTGGCTGCCTACTGCATGCCCCCTACAGGGGATTGAGCCCACAACCCGGGCATGTGCCCTTGGCTGGAATCGAACCTGGGACCCTTCAGTTCGTAGGCCGATGCTCTATCCACTGAGCCAAACCGGCTAGGACGCTACCTCTTTTATTACATTTGTAATTTTTTTATAACTGAGATATAAGATTGTATAAGATTTTTTAAGTATATTTTTAAAAAAACTTTTAAAGAATATTAGTAACACAAAAAATAGGAAATTCAAATTTTAGTGTTCACAAAGCTTTGTTGAAATCAGCCATGCCCATTCATTTAATATTGTTATAGTTGCTTTTTTGCTCTAATGACAGCCTATAAATATTTACTATTTAGCCCTTTACAGAAAGATTGCCAACCTGATCTGTGTTATTAAAGACACTAGAGGCCCGGTACATGAAATTTGTGCACTTGGTGGAGGCGTCCCTCAGCCCAGCCTGTGCCCTCTCACAGTCCAGGAGCCCTCGGGGGATGCCCAACTGATGGCTCTCCATAGGGAGCGGGCCTAAGCCTTCAGTCGGACATCCTTAGCGCTGCCACGGAGACAGAGAGGTTCCCATCACCGCCTCTGTGCTCGCCAGCTGTGAGCCCAGCTCAGGGCTTCTGGCTGAGCGGTGTTCCCCCTGTGGGAGCGCACTGACCACCAGGGGGCAGCTCCTGCGTTGAGCGTCTGCCTTCTGGTGGTCAGTTCTCGTCATAGTGACCAGTCGTTCTGCTGTTCGGTCGATTTGCATATTAGCCTTTTATTATATAGGACAGTGATGGTGAACCTTTTGAGCTCAGCCTGTCAGCATTTTGAAAAACCCTTACTTAACTCTGGTGCCGTGTCACATATAGAAATTTTTTGATATTTGCACCCATAGTAAAACAAAGACTTATATTTTTGATATTTATTTTATATATTTAAATGCCATTTAACAAAGAAAAATCAACCAAAAAAATGAGATCATGTGTCATCTCTGACACGCGTGTCATAGGTTTGCCATCACTGATATAGGATGACATTCTCTAACAAAAAAATTCTAAATTTAATGGGAAATGATTGTTATTTTTACTCATTTCAATAATGTGTGACTAGTATAATGAACATTTACATCAGTAATACTTCTTTGCTGGGGGTTCGCTGAAGTATTTATGTGTACTTTCAAAAACAATTTATCTTGTACTAAAGCAATAGAATCTATAATTTGATTTGGAAAGATAATATACTAATGCATTGGAAATGTTTTTATATTTCATTTTTAATAATTGCAATTTATAATACTTCACCTTTCAAAAAATATGAAAATCTAGGTGATATGTTGAGAAAGAGTAAAATTAAGATTTAGAGAAAAAGGAAGTAAATTCTTATTTTGTGGAAAGATACAGTAAGCTCTATAAGGGAGGCAAGATTGAGGGAGTGTGTAGAGTTGAGGAGAGCCAAAATTAGTATTGAAGTTTAACTTGAGAGTCCATCAGAAGATAATTCATTAGATTCAGGTTAAAACAGGCATGTTTGCCTTTACAACTCTATTCCACTATTACTACACCCAAGAAAATTAACATTAATTCAGTAATAGCACCAAATATGCATTACCTTCATCCCAGATACATCCTTTATGCCTATGTGTGTGTGTGTGTGGCGGGGGGGAGGGGGTGTTTCCTTTTGATCCAAGATCAAATCAAGGTTCACACATTGCCTTTGGCTGTTATGTCTTTTTTTTCTTTTCTTTTTTTTTCCCCCACTGCATTTATTACTAACATAAAAATTGTTAAAAAGAAAAAAATTCATTTTCAATTCTCCAATGGGTCTCATCCCTCCCTCTTGGCCACACAACTCCTGACCCATTTCCTCAGGGCCAGTTCAAGACTGAGCCTGCTCACACTGTTTTCACAGAAAACAACCAGTGACAGTGACGTAGGGACAGAGGTCGGGAGAGCGTGTCAGGACTGTCCAGCTTCCACCCAAAGATAGGCCAGGTGGAGATCCACAAAATTCAAATGAAAGGGCTGGTGCCCTCACAACTACATAGATTAAGGAACATGGGCTATAGAGGAAATAGGGTAGGCCCACCAGAGGCTTTAGAGCACATCTCATGGACCTGTGTCAAATCCAGAAAAAGCGACACCAGAAGAATGGGGAGGCCAGGGAGGAAGTCTCGTGAAAAGTTTCCCAATTCTCCCATGTTGGGAGGTCTGGAGAGCCTCGAGGGCACTAAGAGCCTCACTCATTTTGGGCAGAAATACTTTAGTGTGGGGGGAAGCCATAGAAATGCCACAGACACTGCGACTGTGAGGGGATGTACATTTATCAAGGAGAACAATCACGGACCACAGCAGTATTGGCCATGCTACTGATAGCAGAACTACAAAAACCAAAAGCAGGGAGAGTGGCCTTTCGGGAAGTGACTCTGTCCCAGTCATCCAAACTTGACCCCAGGTCAGACACCTTGGGGAGTTTCACAGAGCAGCTGCCAACATTGGGAGCAGGGGTTATCAACAAAAAGGACCTAAAACAAGCAGCCAGAAGAGGGGAATGGTATGAAACTGTTCTAGGGCTCAGGAATCGAGGGCAGCACTGGGGGCTGGGTGGACAGATGCACAAAAAATAGCACCAAATAAGTTTCCTGCTCAGCAGTCTGTTGGCAAGGGGAAAGAGGACCCAGGAGGCAGTTGAGGGAGCAAAGATGGGGTCCTGGAGGCTGGATCAGCAGAAATAGCGCACACCTCACCCCAGTGATGAAACACTGGACCCCATATGGGGGACGCGATGGACAGGGGTGGGTGTTACTGAGTAAGGATGGTAACTGTCGTAGTAGCTGTCACAGGGCCACAGGGAAACATATGGCCACTAGGTCACAGAGGGCTCTCTCTAGCTCAGCTGGGAAGGCATAGTCTCACTGAGGAGGCCTGGGTGGCAGAAGGCACAAAGGTCCTCATATCAACAGTGACCATCAGATTTGTCTTCTGTATCCTGGGGGTCATCCTTGGGGTGAGGGAGGGGGCAGGTAATCTTGACAAGTGACCAGCTTGTGAGCCTTCAAGGATGTCTCTGTTCTTTGTGAAAGACTACCATGGTCTGGCCCAGTAAAAGGAGGCTCAGCATTGACCCCCCACCAACCACAACCATATGGGCCAAACCTGAGGCCTAAGCCTCCCTAAACTGGGCCTCTGACCTGGGGAGGAGGTGAGAGACTCAGCAGTAGTGGAATCATCAGTCCCCTTGATCCAGGGTGACCTCTGTGAAAAGAGTCTGCATTCTTTTGTTTCTGGCTCCTTTCACTCCAACATCACATTTGTGAGATTCATCCAGGTTGCCTGTAGTAAAAGTTTGTTCATTTTTATTGCAGTGTAGTATCCCATTCATTGCATGTACACGCAATAACATCCATTCTGCTAATGTTGGACATGTGGGTGGATTCCAGTTGGGGGCAGATTTGGGGTCACCAGGCTTTCCATTGGCCATGTGGGGAGGGCCTTCCCACAGGATTCCCATTGTCTTTGTCCCCAGTCTCTTTCTGCTTGGGCACCTGGGGCTGCGGCAGCAGTGGCTGCAGCTGACTCTTCTTTTGCTTTGGCATGGTGGTTGTGGCCTGCTATATCTCTTTACTCTCTCCCAGTCTAAAACATCTTACTACCTTCCTTTGTTCTTCTTGACATTGAATCCTTTGAAGAGCCCAGTTGCCCTAAAACATGTCTCACATGTCAGATTCACTGTTTCTTGAACCCATGACTACATTAAAGTCCAACATTTCTAGCAAGAACATCAGAGAGGTGGTGTTTTGAAACTCACACTGCCTTACATCAGGAGGCACTCAATGACATTGTCCCAGTGTTGGCTATGGAAAGTATGGCCACTTAGTTAAGGTGCTAACCATCAAGATTTCTCTGTTGCAGAAGTATAGTTACAGCTTTTTCTTTTTCCCCTGTAGTTTTCTTGTTAAGGATTTATTAAATTCTTATAGTACTTTTAGGTTCACAGTAAAATTGAGAGAAAAGTATAGATTTTCTGTATACCCCTGTCTCCACAAAGGTATAGCCTTCTCCCATCAGCATCCCGCACGAGACTGGAATATTGTTACAATTGATGAACCTTCATCAACACATCCTTATCAAAGTCCTTAGCTTGCATTAGGATTCACTCTCAGTGACTGATGTATATTCCTGTGGATTTGAACAAATGTTTAATGATCAGAATCTACAATTATAGTATCATACAAAGTACTCTCAGTGTCTTAAAAATCCTGTTTTGTCTATTCACTCCTCCCTTCCCCCTAAGTTTTGTTTTGTTTTTTAAAATATTTTTTATGATTTTTAGAGAGAGAGGAAGGGCAAGGGAGACAGAGAGAGAAACATCAATGTGAGAGGAGAACATCATCGGCTGCCTCCTGCATGCCCCCCAACAAGCATCCAGCCTGCTATCCAGGCATAGGCCCTGACCTGAAATTGAACCAGCAGCCTTTCAGTCGATGGGATGATGCCCAACCAACTGAGCCACAATGGCCAGGGCTTTCCCCTAAGTTTTTTAAAGATAAAATTTTATGTAACTCCTTGGTCATTAACTTATTTAAATTTCAGTGTTGATATTAAATATACATGTATTTTATAATAAACTAGAGGCTCAGTGCATGAATTCGTGCACAGGTGGGGTCCAGCCAGCCCAGCCCCAATTGGGGCAGATCAGGGCTGGGCCTGCCAGGTTGAGGGGCCACAGGAGGTTGGCCGGCCCTTCTCTCCATTGGTGTGAGGGGGGTTTATCAGGGGTGGGGCCAGCCAGGGGGAGGGGCCGTGGGCAGTTGGCTGGCCAGCCCCACTCCTGATCAGGGTGGGGGGGGGGCAATTGGGGGTGGGGCTGGATGGGAGGAGAGGCCAGAGCTGTTGGCCAGCTGGCCCCACCCTCTGGTCCAACTCCCAGTTGGTCAAACTCCTGCCCGAGGGGACAATTTGCATATTAGCCTTTATTATATAAGGTTAGTAATATTATATCATCACTAGAGGCGTGGTGCATGAAAATCTGTGCACTTGAGGGGGGTTCCTCAGCCCAGCATGCGCCCTCTCACAGACTAGGGGACCTCTGCAGGAGGCGACCCATGGAAATATTAACTATTAGAATTATATTTTTCTTGATAATTATTTTTGTAGTTACGTTTATGAAATAGAGGGGGAAATGGTGGTCAGTGGACAAAGAAGTAAGCAAGGAGACTTTTTAATCTAAAATTTTTTTTTAGCCCTAGCTAGTTTGGCTTAGAGCAGTGGTTCTCAACCTTCCTAATGCCTCGACCTTTTAATACAGTTCCTCATGTTGTGGTGACCCCCAATTTCATTGTTACAAATTGAACATAATTAAAGCATAGTGATTAATCACAAAAACAATATGTAATTAATTATATATGTGTTTCCCGATGGTCTTAGGCGACCCCTGTGAAAGGGTCGTTCGACCCCGAAAGGGGTCGCCACCCACAGGTTGAGAACTGCTGGCTTAGAGGATAGAGCTTCGGCCTGCGGACTGAAGGGTTGTGTGTTTGATTCTGGGCAGGGGCACATGCCTGGGTTGCGGGCTCGATCCCTAGTGGGGGGAGTGCAAGAGGCAGCCGATCGATGATTCTCTCTCATCATTGATGTTTCTATCTCTCCCTTTCCCTCCCTCTCTGAAATCAATAAAAAATATATTTAAAATTTTTTTTATATATTAGGAGGGTTCTTAGAATTTTAAGTTTTTCTAATTTTTTTTCCTGGGGTGGGATAACTTTTATAAATTATGATTATTTTCTCCATCATAGGTATTGTCAATATGGACTCGCCATATGGTTCTGTAACACCTTCTTCTACACATTTGGGAAACTTTGCCTCAAACCTTTCAGGAGGTCAGATGTATGGACCTGGGGCACCCCTTGGAGGAGCACCCGCAGCTGCTAACTTTAATAGACAACATTTTTCCCCACTTAGTTTGTTGACCCCAGGTTCATCAGCATCAAATGGTGAGTAATATACACTGTAATTTCCTAAGAAGACGTTTGTGGATATGTTTTTTTCTTTTTTTTTCCTTTTTTTTTAGGGAGAGGGAGAGAAACACCTATCAGCTGCCTACTGCATGCCCCCTATTGGGGATCAAGCCCTGACCAGGAATCAAATCAGCGACCTCTTAGTTCATGGGACAATGCTTAGCCAACTGAGCCACACCGGCCAGGGCAACATATATGTTTTCTTAAAAATTTTAAAGGATTTAAGTTTTGAAAGTTCAGAATTTTTAACTTTTAAACCTTATCATAATTTTAATACTATAAAAATGTAATTGGGCCCTGAACGGGTGACTCAGTTGGTCGGAGCATCATCCTATACACCAAAAGGTTGCAGGTTTGATCCCTGGTGGGTCACGTACAGGAGGCAACCAATCAGTGTTTCTCTCTGTCTTCTTCCTCTCCCTCTAAAACCAATAAACATATCCTCAGGTGAGGATTTTTAAAAAATGTAATTTGTATTCATCTATGGTAGGAAGAATTTCAATAGAATTTCCAAGTTTTTAAATTACTGAAATCAACCTTAATTATATCAAATCTAGAATATTTTATTGACATTTATAAGAAGGATTTGAGGGGGAAAAATATATCTTACTGTACCACCTATTGATTTATCTTAACTTCAGTTTTGTTTGAGAGTACAGCTACCAAGGAGAAAGTTTTCTAACCTTAAAAGTATAAATAACGCCCTGGCCTGTATGTCTCAGTTGGTTAGAGCATTGTCCTGTGCACTGAAGGGTTGTGGGTTCAGTTCCAGTTAGGGCACATACCTAGGTTGCAGGTTCCATCCCTGATGGGAGGCAACCAATCGATGTTTCTCTCTTCCTCTCCCTTCCTCTCTCGCTAAAATTATATATATATATATATATATATATATGATTTAAAAAAAATTAAAGTATAAACATCATAAGCTTTTTGATTACCTTTAAGTCTCATTTACTGTATTTAACAGCCCAACTGATTTCACATTATGACATGTGTATTTTTAACTGTAGTCAGATTTTGGAGGCAGTAATTAGATTTTCAAACTAAGAAATATCTGTCATAAATAGGGAATTCAAGTCATATTAACAGAATTCTGTAGTAAGGCTATTGGTTTTTTGTGTTTTTAATTTTCTGTGTGTGAGAATAAAGACATCAAATTACTTTCTCCTTGAGGAAATTATAGTAAGAACAATTTCTTAAACTATGAATTTTTCCTATGAGTGTTAGAACCCAGGTAAGAGAGCCTGATTAATAGAATTAAAAAAAATTAGCCCAGCTAGTGTAGCTCACTGAGCATCAACCCATGCACCATGAGATCTTACAGGTTTGTTCCCAATCAGGGCACATGGCCAGGTTGCAGTCTCAATCCCCAGTAGGGGGCATATAGGAGGCATCCGATAGATGTTGATGTTTCTCTTTCATCAATGTTTCTATCTCTCTCCCTCTCCCTTCCTCTCTAAACTGGATAAAAACATATTTTTAAAATATTAAATATTTAAGAGCATATCAAAGTACATTGCTGGCACTGCCCAGGTTGCTCAGTTAGTTAGAGCGTCATCCTAATATGCCAAGGTTTGAGGGTTCAATACCTGGTCAGGGCACATATAAGAATTAACCAATGAATGCATAAATAAGTGGAACAACAAATCGTTATTTCTCTATCATCTATCTATCTATCTATCTATCTCTCTCTCTCTCTCTCTACCTCTCTCCCTACCTCCCATCTCCCTTTTCTCTCCTTCCCTCCCTTCTTCTTTCTGTCCCTCCCTTTCCTCTCTCTTTAAAATCAGTCAATAAGTAAAAAATTTAAAAAGTGCATTGCCACTTAAAGCATGGCATTGTTAATTTACATGCTGTATAGTTCTTTTGTGTTTGTCAAATAATAAGGACTGTCACAAAGAAAGAATGTTGATTATCCTTGCACAGATGTCACTAAATGAGAATGGTTTAAGAAAGCTTTCAAAGTGATTGTGATAGAAACATGCCAGAAATAATGTAAGAAGTATGAAAATAATGTACCAGTATAAGAAGAAAATAATGGGCCCTTCATTCAAAAGACAAATAGATTTCAACAGACAGATCTTCAGTTCTACTTAGAACAGGTTTTTTTTAGTAATATTATGGACATGCAGTTCTAAAACTACATGGGATATAATGTAGGATTGAGAAATGAATAAATAAATATACTGATGAAGATGTGAGAAGACAGAAGTGTGCAAATGGAGTAAGGCAAGGAAAACCATATGGAATTAGAGGATCAATGTGAATTCATGATTTTTCAGTTACATATGTATTGGATGGAATCATATAAAACTGTCACTTTTCCTCTAGCTCAATCTACTGAAAACAATGAATCAGCAGCAGCAGTGAGCATACTTAGTGTCCAGATCTTCCTGTTAAATAATTTTTTCCACTAAAAAAGGCTAGAGCTTCTTGGAGAAATACCTAGGGCAGGAGTCCTCAAACTACGGCCCGCGGGCCACATGCAAATACAAATATTTTATTTGTTCCCGTTTTGTTTTTTTACTTCAAAATAAGATATGTGCACTGTGCATAGGAATTTGTTCATAGTTTTTTTTTAAACTATAGTCCGGCCCTCCAACGGTCTGAGGGACAGTGAACTGGCCCCCTGTTTAAAAAGTTTGAGGACCCCTGACCTAGGGCATAGGAAGTGTAAGGAGAGCTTTATAGTGTCACAAAGTCTTACCGTGTCAGAAAGTAATTAAGTGCTCAGAATGATAGGGCTATGTCAAAAGGAGACGAGAGACAGTTTGAAGGGGTTTCACTGGCCAAATTCAGGACAACTTGACCACCAAAATGAATAATGGCAGCTCATTGGATAAAGCAATCCATGAGACCATAATGATTATACATAAAATTTTAAGTGCAAGAGAAGGGAACACTATTCCTTAGAATATAATAACTCATAAATTTACAAGGAATTTATAGTCATTATTTTGCAACTTTTAGAATGATTGATTCAGGCAAGACCCTCACACTTTTACCTCTGATATTCAATTTTTAACTAATTTGCACTTTCCTTACCTAATATAAATCTAAATATTGTTGCTTTTTAATGACTATTTAGTTTGTTTTGTCTGACTCCAACTCTTCTCTAGGCAGTTGGTTCACATGAAAAGAATCCCTTCTTGAGGCCCCACAACAGATTGGTGATGTCTAAGAGCCTCTGCACACCGGATGGGTAGAGGTCACCTGAGACCTTATCTCACTCAAACTGCTAAAGTCTATCCTACCAACACTCAGCCAGTTCGTGCATTGATTACTGATCACTGGCTCTGGTCTGTGAGTTTCAGTCCTTGGCAAATTAGTCAATGGGCCATTTTGACATTCAATCTTATAAAATGTCAGATCAAAAAGCAATAAAAAACCATTACAATTTTGAAAGGAAAAAACTAATTTTACGTTCACTATGCATGTACATGTTGTGTATAGTTGAAATAACATATTTACAAAACTGACTCCTGTATGTTTCACATTGGTATTTTCTATTCTGTTTTCTTTATTTAACCTTTAAAAATTTTATGCTAGTCATGACCAACCACATTCATCTCATGATCTATAGTTTAGTAAACACTGAATGAAGAAAATACAGTGTAATTTTCCTGCAGGAACACTTTTTCAGTTTGTAAGTCATATTGCTCTTTCGATTTGAATTCAGAACTCTGTCATTTCAAAGCTGAAGTGGATTTACCATGAATCCAGTGAAGTTTAAGCTTCAGAGTACCTCATTTGCAAGGGGCCCTGCCAAGGTCTTTACCTAATTTTCTATTCTTTTTCTGAAAAAGGTTCCCAAGATTGTATAAGGCCCCACAAAACTTCTAAAACCTGTTTTTTTTCTCCAATTATATAAGCTGGTATATTTTAAAATAACATGGCTCTGAATTAGATTTTGCTGTTTTCTAATCAAAGAAATTATAATAATTAGGCTCTTTTCATGGGAAGGAATATAGATCTATGGAAGGAATCTCAAGGAAAATGGTGTTTACTTTAAGGTATGCAGGTCCCTAGTCGGTTTAGCTCAGTGGATAGAGTGTTAGCCCTCATTCTGAAGGGTCCCAGGTTTGATTCCTGTTAAGGACGTGTACCTTGGTTGCAGGCTAGATTCCTGGCTCAGGTTAGGGCGCTTGCAGGAGGCAGCCAATGGATGTGTCTCTCTCACATTGATGTTTCTCTCTCTGTGTCTCTCTCCCTTCCTTCCACTCTCTCTAAAAATCAATGGAAAAATATCCTGGGAAGGGGACTAACAATAACAACAAAAAAGATAAGGCGATGCAGGGACATTGTCAGAACCAGCAAGGGTTTGGGACAGCTATTCTTTCCATGTCTCTCTTTAGAGCAGTGGTTCTCAACCTTCCTAATGCCGCGACCCTTTAATGCAGTTCCTCATGTTGTGGTGACCCCCAACCATAAAATTATTTTCGTTGCTACTTCATAACTGTAATTTTGCTACTGTTATGAATCGTAATGTAAATATCTGATATGCAGGATGTATTTTCATTGTTACAAATTGAACATAATTAAAGCATAGTGATTAATCACAAAAACAATATGTAATTATATATGTGTTTTCCGATGGTCTTAGGCGACCCCTGTGAAAGGGTCGTTCGACCCCCAAAGGGGCCTCGACCCACAGGTTGAGAACCGCTGCTTTAGAGGATTTATGGTCTCTTACTCATGGTCTGTTTCTTGTGAGTCTTCTTTGTTTACTCTCTTTATACCTAGACTTTTTCATAATCTCATCTTGTGTGTAGTTTTCAAAGAGTCAGTTCATAGTTAATTAACCAGTTTTTCTCTGTTTGTTAATTGCATCTTCCTGAATAAGGAATATGATTGGTTCAGCTCATATGTTCAAGTCAAGCCAGGCCAGTCAAAGATTGCTGGCTAGTCTAAAATGGATCGTTCTTTAGTCAGATGCTTGTCCTTAGTCCAGTAAACCTGCAGGGTGAAAGCAGAAAACAGTCATGTGATAAAAACTATGATTAGTGTGGTGGCAGAATCTACGAAAAGGGCAAATGTCTAAATGGGGCAGGTCAGCAGGCAAGCCTAGTTATTCTGTTCATTTAAACAGAATGTTAGAGAGTTGCCCTCATTTTGCTTTGCTTTTGTTTTTGGTAGGATACAGGAAAAGAAAAACTAGATCATACACAGAGGTTAGGGCAGGTTCCTGGGAATGGGCCTCGGGGAAGGTAAGGTTCATTCATCCTTCCTTCTGACCATCCTGCCTGCCTGCCTTCCTGGCGCTTCCTTTGACTATGTCTTGGTGTTAATTGTTCTGGGTTCATTTTTCACAGGAATGTAATTATGCCCTTTCAACACATGGTTTAAAAAGCAATAAACAAAATTTTGTTTATCCCTAGTCTTTATACCATCTTGCATTCCTTATATATAGTTGAATTTATTAGTCTTTTCTGGAGTCTTCTTTCATTTTAATACTTTCCTGAGTTTTGTCATCTTGTTTCCAGTTTTACTAATTTAGAATTATGCTGTTCATTTTTTGTTGTTATTGTTGTTTTTCTTATGGCTCACTTTGGAATTTTAGGGTATAGTTTCTTTTTAATGTGCCTTTGGAATATTAGGATATAGCTTTCTTTCTGGCATGCTTTTGTTGTCTACAAAAATCCATATCTTTTATTTCATATAATAGCTTTCTATGGAATTTTACTGCATTTCTATTGTGTTTTTGCAGTTTTAAATGAAATTAGTTTTCCTGAATTTATAGAAGCAATATGTGGGTCAGGATATGTTTTCTAGCTTAAAGGTGCCAGAATTCCTCTTGTAGGGAGGTGTGCAAAAATATAGTCTTATACTTCATGTGTTGGCTTTATTGTCCTTACCCACCCACCACACCCCATCTGCCCTGCTCTTGAATGGACGTTCTCTTTGCATCTGTTGTCCTTTCCTGCTCAGTTTGGAATCTGTTCCCAGAAGTTTCTTACCAGTATGGGGCTTTATCCTGGAAGGAAGCTTCAGCAAGTACTTTTGAGAGTTCATAGGGCTCCTATTGCACCAGCTTTTTCAGACCTTATTGTGAATCCCTTGCAATCATCCACACATAGGCAGAACTCTCCCAATTTCACCTATTCTCATTGGCCTGCCCTGCTTTCCTTTTAGTTCCTTTGAATGTTTTATGGTTCTCATATTGCTTCCTTCCACACAGATGCTGATACTACATGAATCTTACAGCTGTTGGTGATTTGTCCCCATTCACTTGTATCTTTGGATCCACTTTGTCTGTTTTGTTTTATGTTACCCATGTTTTTTGTTTTGACTTTGCTAGCTTAGTGGATTTTTTAAGTTGAATTTTCAAATATTTAAATTGCTTTAAAGATACTTACCTGGATTTTGCATTTTCTTGGTTTGTTAAAAGTAAATGCTGTCAAGTAATGCTAGTGGATCCATGACCACACAAGGTACACTTCAACTTGTCATTAGAGGATAATAGTTTTCTTGGTTCACTTGTATAAATAACTAGAGGCCCGGTGCACAACATTCGTGCACAGGTAGGGTCCCTAGGCCGGGCCGGCGATCAGGGCCGATTGGGGCCTTCCTTCCCTGGCTACTGGCTGCCAGCAGGGGCCTCCCTTCATTCTGCGCCACACCCTGGTGGTCAGTGCACGTCATACGAGCAATCAAACTTCACAGTCTCCCACTCAAACTCCCGAGGGGACACTTTGCATATCAGCCTTTTATATTCATACTAGAAGCCCAGTGCACGAAATTCATGCACAGGGGTCGGGGGTGGGGAGAGGGGTTTCCCTCAACCCAGCCTGCACCCTCCCCAATCTGGGACATCCCTCTCACAATCCAGGACCACTGGCTCCTAACTGCTTGCCTGCCTGCCGGCCTGATTGCCCCTAACCGCTTCTGCCTGCCAGCCTGATTGATCCCTAACTGCTCCCCTGCTGTCCAGATCACCCACAACTTCCCTCCCCTGCCAGCCCGATCGCCCACAACTGCCCTCCCCTGCCGGCCATCTTGTGGCAGCCATCTTGTGACAACGTCACATGAGGGCGTGATGCCACCTAGGCTTTTATTATATAGGATAGATAGATAAGCCTATCATGTTCCATGTTTTTGGTCCCCAATAATAACAATATCTGTATAATAAGTATAATTTATGAAGTGCTTTCACATTCACTCTTTTTAGTTAATGTCACTATAACTCACAGATAGATGATCCTATCAACTTAACCAAAAAATAGACCTCTGCAAGCCTTAATTAAGATGGACTTGATCTTCACAGTACTTTCCAGTCTATATGATTATAAACTATATATGAGAAGTCTTTTTTAAAACATATTCAGGCTAATCTTATTGAATTTTTCTTTGTCTTCCAAATTCCTGGGGAAGTGCTTCAGGAAATAGAAACATGCTTTTGTGTCTGTGTGCATGAATGTAGAAAGAGAGATTTTTGCAAATTTATTAACTACCTGAATTCCTTTGGGTGTAGACACACGCACACACACACACACACACTATA